ACCCTACATCATCACCTCTGCCCTCCCCCTTCCAATCAATCCGCACCTCATCCTCAACACATCCCGCAATCAATCCCCATCACAAACTCCCTCCTACATGCACCACCATTCACATCAACACACCCATCCAAAACCCATCTCCAACGCACAAAACTCACTCCAAACCCCACCACCTCAAAACATACCAACCCATCCCCACAATCCCAAACTCCTCGTCTCTTACCACTCCCGCTTTGCAAAACACATCCGTTCCTCACCGTACAATTAAAAATTTAAAAATTTCTGTATTTATTCTCGTCCACCTCATTCGCCTGGACCTTCTAGTTGAACAGCCCTCCAAACGATCCGGCCATTCCAAGCCCTCCTAACATGCTACTGCCGCCCAGCTCCTGCAGCCGATTGTGCTGCTGCTGTTGCTGCGCCACAGCGGCGGCCAAATTCAACCTCGCGTTGTGCGCGTTCATGTGTCCCATTAACCCGCTCAGACCCCCCACCCCGTTCCCCCGCGCACCACCCCCCATACCTCTCGCGCTGTGGCTCCCCACACCCGGATGAGCCCCGCTGCTGCCTACTCCACCAATCCCTACGCTATTCCCGCTCCCCACCACACCCTCTCCGCTGTTCCGGTTCATCCCCACCTGACTGCTCACTATCGCCCCCAGGTTGTGCACGTTATTGCTGCCTCCCACTCCCACCATGTCCCCGCTCAGCCCCACGTTCCCTCCCAAACTCTCGCTCAAGTTTCCAACCATCCCATTCCCCGGGTTACCTCCCACCCCCACCCCTTGCCGCAACGCCACCTGGTTCTGGCTCACCTGCTGGTTCATCATCATCTCTTGCAGCAGCTGATGCACCCCACTTGAGCTCCCGTGATGCTTGCCCTGCGCTTGCTGCTGCTGCTGCACTACGCTCCCCCCATCCATGTTTTGCTGTACACATGAATCCCCTCGTGAGTACGCACTCACCCCTCCGCCAGATACCGACGGAAAACCATTCCCATACGAACTCATTAGGTTGCTCCCTGATGCCTGCACCGACCCGCCCACACCTCCCCCTCTGCACAACGACAACTGCTGCTGCCGCACGTGCTGCTGCGTCTGTAAGCTCCCTCCTACCCCATTCTGCCCGTTGCTTTGGTGGGATGCCACGCTCCCTCCCGACTCCAGGCTGTCCTGCAGAGATGTCTGTAGCGCTGCCAAAGAGTTGCTCTCGAAAAACGAACTCAGAGGGTCCGCCTCTGCCCCCCCTGATATCGCTTCCTCCAGCCCCTCCGCCCCCTGCCCATCCACTTCGTTCTCCTCCTCAAAATGCTCTTGTAACCCACTCAACCCCCTCGTATTCGTCTCCGCCAAAAGGCTCTGCAGCTCCAGCTCCTCTTGCTGCTGCTCCTCCTCTTGCTCCTGCTGCTCCTCTTGTTCCTCATGCTGCCCCCGCTGCTCCTGCTCCTGCTCCTGCTGCTGTTCCTGAAGCGCTCTTACTTGCGCGATCCGAAGCATGCTTCGACTGCTGCCGTCGCTTCGTCGCGGAAACTTATGCAAACTTGCTGCATTGTCAAACAACCTTCCCAACCTCAGCATAATATCAACAACGCGCCGCACCCTACCCTATCCCATTCGCTTTCCAATCCACCCTCACTCCTGCTTTCCCCACTCATCCCACCCACCCACACTACCAACCCAACACACCACACCCAATCCATCAAATCCCATCCCGCACCACAACAGCGTACCCATCGGCCCGTAACCGTTGTCCCGACTGTGGTCTATCAGGTCTTTCATGCTGTTCACCACCTCCGATATCTGCACACAGACGCGCCGTCCCA